TGGTAAAATTTTCAATTCCTTTGGTGGTTTAGTAGGATCAAGATGATAATCTACAATATTTTGATATAAATTATCTGGTAAGACATTTTCTAAAAAGGAGTGAATTTGATTAAAGTCTTTTGCAGGTATCGTAAACCAACGAATTAAAGGAATAAATTCGTGAATAGCTTTCTCAAAAATCTTGAATTCTTGACTTGTCCAGCTCGTCATGCCCTTTTGAGAGGTTTCCTCGTTTTGTGCAGTGCCCCACTTAATCAGATAGTCCAAAATATTTTTCTCATTTAATCTTCCCATGTTATCACGTTCCAATATATGAATTAAAATGGAACGATCTAATCGGATCAATTTCGAGTTATCAAATAATGAATTTGGATTGAGACATATAAGATAGATACAGTATTCCCGAAATGATTTACATATATCATGTTTAAAAATAATTTCTAATACACCAACTGCGTCATTTTGAAGAAGATTTTCTAAATTTTGTTCTATAAAAGTTGACATGTCGGAAAATAAATCCTTAAGTTTCAATACATTAGCTTCTATAAATATACGCAAAATTTCAGCACCATGAAATTTATTCACTATAAGTTTAAAGTTTTTCTTTAAAAATAGACTACTAACAATTATTTTATTTTGTAGTTCATTGGCAGTTTTCATAAATTGTAAAAATTGTTCAATATTCAATTTATCAAGGATAATTTGAATAAAATCATCACTCGCTAACATATCATCAATAGCTTTTCTAGATTTCATATTGTTCGGTATTCTCATTAGATTTAAAATGCTGTAAGCATTGAATTTGTATAGGATAGTATTGATGAAATCCTTATTTGATAATATTTTGGCGATTGTTTCTTGAATTTGCAACTCCTCAGTCTTTTCTATGATTTCTAATATTTCTAAACTATCTAATTTTCCTAGGATAGCCCTTACAATGTCATTTTTTGATAATATATGATCAATAGCATTTTGTATGTTAAATTCATTAATTATCAAAAGTTTTAAAACTTCTCCGCCATTCAACTTTCTTAATGTTGTTTCGGCAAAATTCGTAGGTAATAATAGATAATCAATAATCACTTGAAATTCCATCTTATTTGCTGCTACAATAAGCATTAATATGTTGGCACCATACAATTCTTCAATATCAAATTCAGTAGTATATAAATATCTTTAAAATTAAAATATAATTGATAATAGTTACTACGTATAATAATATGCATGTATTAATTTAAAATTGCACAAATACCTTAAAATGACTTTAAAAACAACTGTAGAAATATCTTGAATTGGAAAAATAAAAGGACTACTATCTTCTTTAACTTTAGATAAAGCCATTTTGAAATAAGAGGAACGTTCACATAAGATTAGAGAATGTGCGTAAAAATCTTTGAAAGAAAAATTTTCGCTAACAATATCTTTGCTAACACGAATGATGACATCATATTGGTCATTCGTTTGCAACAGCCTTTTATTGATATTAACAAGATCCTCATATGAACTAAAAAATGATTCGCATTCGATTTCCATTTGTTTAGATGATGTAGATCCTGGTGCAAATCTTGGTGGTTGCAATGTGTTCGCTGGTAGAGAACTAGGATCCAAGTAATAGCTTAAAACTCTGTTAAACAAATCCTCTGATAAAATATTTTGAAGGAGTTGCCTATTTTGTCCAAAATCTATACTTGAAATCTTGAACCATCGGATTAAAGGAATGAGTTCACCGATTGTATTTTTAAATGTAATGTAGTCATTTTTTTCCCAGGTATTTATATCTTTTTCTTGAATAGTTGCAGAACCCCATTGAATCAAATATTTTAAAATATTTGTTTCGCTTAGATTTCTATTTGGATAAGTACATATAAGTTGAAGGCATGGTTCATGCAATTTCTCGAATATATTATTATAATGAAAAATGATTTGCAATGTTCTATTTTCATCACTTCGTATTATTTTTTCCAAATTTTCTTGTACATAAAAAAATAATTTGTTAAATTTGCTACTAATTCCTTTATTAATAAGTAGTAATTTATCAGTTTCCACTAAAAATTCCAAAACCTCAACACCACTTAATTCATCTAAAGAAATTTCAGTAGTATATATGTACCTTTTAAAAATAAATAAGCACTTTTAATAATCATTTGACAAAAGATATAAAAAAAAATTAGAAAAAGTATTAATGTATATAGATACCTTAAAACAGCTTTAAATGTATTTATTGGCACATCTTTCATTTCAATAATGAAAAAATTTCCTTCTTTCTTAGCCCATCTACTGGAAAGAGCACTATTAAAATAGCTAGAGTGTTCTCTTAAAATAAGCGAATGTGCACAAAGCTCTTTTAAATTCTCTCCTTTGCCAAAGCGAATAATCACATCGGAATTATAGCCATCCTGAAGAAGTTTTTTATAATCTGAAGCAAGTTCTTTAGAATTTGTCTTCATTGTTTTAATTTGATAAATTTTATCCTAAATTTTTTAAAGAAATTATAATAATGTATTCTGATTAATATATCTAAAATAAATAATGTACACTGTTATATAAGTTTATTGTACACTGTACACTGGTTACATACGATTATTGTACACTGTATCAATGTACTACGTATGTAAATCAAATCAATGTATAAGTAGCTGCGCAAAACCAGGAACGGAAGACGGAGTTTCAGACCGAGTTGCAGATGAAACTTTTTTTGTCATAAGTTCTTTGTTTGCTCCTATCACTACATTTAATTTTATTAATTTTATTAGCATTTATAATTCTAATCAGTTTGCCGAGATATTTAACCAATCAAATTACATAGCTTTTAAAACGTTTATCATTTTAATACTGCTAGAAGACAAAAGAAAAACTTTGTTAAAAGAAGATTACAAACCAATAATTACATACAAAAGTTAGAAAAACAGATAAATATGCGTAAAGTGGGATAAATGTAATATTAATTATAAAAACCCGAACCCATTAAAGAGTTAATAAGTGAATAAATTATTAGCGAAACTATTTTTATTTATTAATTATGTTCTGAAAAAATTAATCTTTATTATCATGTTCGTTATTAGAGATACAACACGACTTTAAACCTATGTAATTAATGAAACAATAATACTCATATATATATTAGCGACAATTCTATAATATTAAGAATACATAAAATAAGAACCTTAGTATATTCTTGTTGTTATAATAACATGTTAAACGGTATTAACAAAGTTCATTGATTTAGATCTTATGCATAACGTCTTAAACTTCTTTTTTTTTTGGTGGCAATTCCAGAATTTAGAGCTTACATATAGTTAATATGACTAGTCCTACAATAAATATTCTCTTCTAAGTGAAGTTCTCGAGGTTACTGATTATTTTTGCATAATGAATATAGATATTCTTTCGAAATTAGAAATGGCTTTTACAGTGTTATCTTGTTAGTGAAAAATTACGTCCTCAACAAGTGTATAAATAAATTACCCGGGCAATTGGTTTACATCAGCCAATCTGACGAATGTCTGCCTATGACAATTGGAGTTAAACTCAGCATGATTGATGGAAGATCTCCTTACTATGGTGACAGTGTAAAAAACAGAGAATCAAGCTCAATAACAGATTAGTAAAACAACAAATGGTTTAATTCTTAAATGTACGCTTTGAAAATAGATACTTTTGAATTATTGAACTAGGACAGCTAAAAGAACGAATTTAGTTAGACGAAATTTTTATAAACCGGTATAACCACAACCCGATTTAGTGGAATTTCCTTTGTTAAGAAATTCCCGAGCTGCCGGCCAAAGATATGGGTCGTAGTATATCAATAATTCTTTATATATCTAATATTATATGATATAAATGTTTCAAAAATCACAAACAAAAACAGGTAAAAACAAGAATAATTTCATATATATGTCATAGGGTTAAAAGCCACGATAATAAATAACATTATAATAATCTAGAATAATCTAGAATAATTCCATGATCACAAACCTTTAATGTTACCATTTGTCAATAGACAAAAAGCCTCATAGAGTATAAATATAGATGAAGTCACGAGATTAGATCAACCAATCGGATGAAAAAGAGACACCCCACTTAACTTGCTCGTAAACCATACTCTTCGTATTTCATACTCCATTCCTGGTATATGAAAATCAATCTTAGTAAAATACTGCGGCAACAATATTATTTTGATAAAATCTAAATCGTTATATTATTTATCGGTTTATAAAAAAAAGCTCTATTACATTAAAATATGCATTCCACTATGTTTTTGTGCGAAATTTCTAAATAGATTACTATATTGAATGTCATGATATAGGGCAATTGTCTAGAAAAAATTTGCAAGCTTCAAATTGTATCTCATCGATATTCTACAAATTAAACTATTTAAAATTTTCGCGTAAATGTATAATGGATAGCATATTTTAATAAAACGAGGAGTTTTTTTTTCCTAACCCAAAAAATAATTAAATTTTTATTTAAATTATACTATTGCCGCAGGATTTTTATTATTAACGTGAATGCAATAATTCATTATTTTTGGGGTTATGAAAAAAGCTATTCATTTTATTAAAATATTGCTTTCACGCGAAATATCTAAACAGTTTAAAAATGTAGAATATCGAGGAGATACAATTTGAAGTTTGCAAATTTTTTGTAGAAAATTTCTTATATTTCGACATTCAATATATAAATCAATTTAGAAATTTTTCACACGAAAACCTAGTAGATTGCATATTTTAATGTAATAGAGAGCTTTTTTTTTTATAAACCGATAAATAATATAACGATTTAGATTTTATCGAAATTATATCGTTGCCGCAATATTTTACTAAGATTGATTTTCATATATGACTATACATAGATTTGATTTACATAGTACATTGGGCACCCCAACTGTACGTACACTGTTGCATACGATTATTAAAACCTTATTTCGAATTCCTTCTTAGGCAATTTTATAATAAACAAGGGTAGGTCTGGTGCCCACGACGCCTATTTTTAAATAGTTGGTTAATTGTATATAGTATTATTAAATTTCTTGTTTTTAAAAGCAATTTGATTGGTTATATATAGTTATTGTTATATATTTTTATATTTAATATTAATATTAATGATTACATTTATTTATCTTTTTCGATGATCACACGGGTTTAATCGTTTAGATAATAATGATTTCATTCATAAATTCCGGATCATACAGGTTTAATCGTCAGGTAATAATGATTACATTATTTATCGCATACGTATACGTATATATATATATATATATAAATTCCGGATCATAATGATTATACGTGTTTATTTATTTCTTGCATACATTTATTTATTCGCATATATAATTCGTAATAACAGCAGAGACCATTAACGTTACACATATATTAAAACGAGTGAGGGATTATATCTATCACAATTGAACCCAACATAAATAGTTTAATTTGTAATTGATCACAAGCGAGAGGGATTCATTTTGAATCGGGCACTGTCTCTGCTGTTATCCGTGATTTGGTTATAACAGTGAAAAGGCATAACTATTTGCAATTAAACTCTTCCCGTTTCTTTTCGGTTAATCTCATGCAAATTTACAAAAAAAATCTACTAATTTTTTACACACACTATACTATTTACAAATTGTCTGATCTAGCCAATCAGGTATCATAAAGGGTATTGCATTGTTTATCGTTACATTCAATTTACTTTCATACAGTATTATTGCCTATTTTATCCAAAAAGAAAAAATACATATGGTTATATTAGATGGATACACAGACGAGACAAACCGAATGACATCTATGTTAGCAAACGGTGTTTTCAGGTCCTCTGAATGATCTACGAATTATTGTTGCTCGATCAGAGACTTTATTGTTAAAACGAAGGAAAAACATATGGGAATAGGTCCGCTATTCTAAGGCTCTCAATCTTGTTAAAGTTATTGTCTTGAACATAATCCTAAACTTTAGAAATCTAGTTCGAACGGTTTCAGACTTTGCAGTTTAACGGGATCAATGCCCTGTAGCACAACATCGATTAACCATTAAAATACACTCTCAGTAAGAAATTAACAGATCAGACAATGAATACAGAGAATAGAATTTATAATTTATAACACTGGGGTGCCTGGTCCTTGTACTGTTAATGCAGTTTCGGAGCCATACATATTTGAACTACGGTGTCATTAAGCTTTACGGTGGTCATTGTGCTATTTCAAACGACGAACCACTTAAATACGGGTGCATAGGGAGGGCCGATAAGGCCAGCTTTCACCAAGACGAGCGATACTAAACCTATACAAACCATTTTCTTTTTCATTTATTTATGAGATTATTATTAAATTATTTCCCCAATTATTTTCATATTTACCTAATTTAGTAATACGGACGGAAAGCTTTATTGGTTTAGCAAAAATATATATAGAATACCACGGCTGAACAGCTGCGCCTTTTATAGTCGATCAAATAATTCTAGAAATATCTAACACGATATGCATGCATGTAACCTTTACATTTTTATTTTGTTACAGTCATGCATGTAACCTTTACATTTTTATTTTGTTATAGTCATGCATGTAAAGCGCATTTAGGCGTCTGATTACATTTAGAGAGGTTGACTATATTTGCAATTTGAGACTTGCAACTTTTGAGTATTTTCTCGTAAAAAATTCTTTAAAATTTCACCTATTTGCTTCAACGGCATTTTTATTATGCTTTCTCTTTTTTAATATATATAGTTGATTGTTTAAAATATGGCCATTGATCAGATTATTTTCTATTAATAAATATGTTTAGAAATTATTCGTGAAACACAAAAAAACGCCTAAAATACAAATTAATTTCAATGAGAATAATGGATTAATAACAATTGGACTAAAATATATTTTTTATGAATAGTGTAACGCAATCATAATCAAATACCTTACGTTACTGTACGTATATTCTGATTCAATTCGAAAATTAAAAAATGTTAGAAAATGGTCGTTTACTTTCTCAAAAATACCTTATAAAACTAACTTTTAAGAAAAATGACGAAATTAATTGATGAACCATATAAGCTAATTTTTGGGGTTGTATGTGGTTTAAAAGTCATATTTCATTTGATTTACATAATTCTCTGGATATATCAAGCTATACATAATCCATTTAAACAGACATTTAATGATTCTAGTCGGTTAGCTGAAGGCATAATTATGGCAGCAGTATTCGCACTATCTATAATACTTTTTTTTATCGAATCATATTTTTTCTACGTATTTAAGCGACAACGAACAATTCTTAATCTACATATATGTATAAACTCATCAATATTCCCCATTTATCTTGGTCTTTCTTTAGCTTTAACCATTTTGACTATTAGTAGTGAGCCAATTTGGAATTTATATTCTATCATGACTGTGTCATTATGGGTCATATCGGCACTTACATTAATTCAGAATATTACATTTATACAAAAGAATTTTAATTGC